TGGCGTGATCAACAATTTGAATAAGGTCATCACGCTCAAGCTCTCGGCGACGATGACATGTGTATTCGTGCTAGCACAGCGATCAACGGCCTACAAGAGTTCCGTCTGCTCAATTTCACTCACAAGGCTTGGGTCAACCCATGGTATGGTTTTCAGGCACTTTCCAAGGGTGCCGCACCTCGATCCAGTCCGATAACATGAGGAAGTCGTCTTCATGACAAATTAGCTATGGTGAGATTCGAACCTGGGTCCCATGGCAAGAAAGCGAACGGCGAACGTCCTAAACACTCGGCCATATTATATATATATATATATATATATATATATATATATATATATATATATATATATATATATATATATATATATATTATAATATATATATAAACATTAAATAAACACTTAGGGGTGACAGGGTGTTTAATGCTGAACGATTGCGCCCAGCATAAAACAGCCTGTCGCCTCTGAGTGTTGACTTCTATGTTCACTTTTATATTTATATACGCTCTATCTTTGATATTGAGCACTTTATCCCATAAATATAGCACACATTAAAACTATAGTTCTTCATATATGTATGTGTGTGTGGTTGCACTGATACTGCCATAATATTTATTCAGGATATAAATTTTATATTTCAATGTGTACATCTCAATATATATCAGATTTATTTCAGTAGATTGTGGATCTTTTCGAAAAATCATTTACATCCATTACCGTAGCACAATAGTAGATGACCCATTTCCATGAATCCGAGTGCATTTTGTCAATAAGCAAGCACCGAGAATTTGGAACATTTTAAATTACGCCCAGCCATTTAGGGAAAGTAAATTTGTTTTCTCTTTTCAATTCCTATTTACATTTGCGCGTTTTCTTCCTATTTTTCTTTTACTTTCTGTAAACAGTTCCTCCAAATTAAATCGATTTTTTGCAGCTGGATGTTGCACTTCGAAAGGAGGAATCATGTTCCACTTGATGATATCTAACAGTATCGACATTCGTGCATGAGGTCTTTTCCGATTTTTCCCGTTTTTTTTTTTGCGTGCGTTAGGCACACCGTGCTAACAGCGCACGAATATAATTATGTGCATTTTTTGTACAGTTTAAGCGGGTGAAACATTGGTGACGAAACAAAACGTCGATGCTACATTCAGAGTAGTTCACAGGTAAGAAAAACTTGTATGTTTTACCTAATAACGGAGTTGGTAGGTTGATTTGAAAATACAATTGATTCCAGTGTTGGAGCCTTCATCTCAGACTGGGCCGAACGAAATCAACATTCTTGTGAATGTTTGAGATTAGCCAATATTTAGAGAATTTAAAAGACGTACAATATATGCAGAATCTCCCCCCGTTTACAACAGGGATGGATTTTCTGAAGTTAAAACATTGAGGGAACATTGATTTGATGTTGCTTGTAAAAATGGTTTTGTTCTGAAACAAATTTTATAGTGGATTTCACGAATGCTTCGGACAGAAAACACTAACAGTATATAAAATATTTTAATTTAGTTCCAAAAATATCATTTTTCTATTATACAACAGTTCGGAATGTTAAGATTTTTACGTCTTTCAAGTTTATTTTTATTCTTTACAATGTTTTATTGCCTAAAAGGAGAAATAAATCAATTTCTTTAAATGTGAACGTTTTAAAAAATTGAATAACATTTCATTCTGAATTATATCGATTAGTTCACCTTTTTTATTTGTTACTACATCTAATTACCTACAGCCCGATTCACAAACCTTCCATTAAACCGGAAGCCAGGTTAATCCATTGTTTCAATAGGATTGGGTTTCCGGTTTCTATTAAAGATTGCTCGTTCTCTTTCATTCCAAGTAACCCCTTGTTGTTATCGCCTTGCTTGGGTTGGAAATGGTTTAATAAGAAATTGGGTGAATGTTTGGGAAAAGCGTGAAAAACATACTACGGGTTGATCCAAGCATTGTGAGCGAAATTGGGTAAACAAAACTGTTCGGAAGCCATCAATATTTGTGCTAGCACGAAGTCACAAGTCATCGTGACCGAGATTAACTGTTTCTCACGCCGGCTTATGCGCTATCTCCTATAAAGTGTAACTAAGGTTCGCCCAGTATAATTACAGGAGGGCTATTTGGGTAACACAAACACAAGAAATGTGCCTGAAAAATCATCTACAGCAGGGATTGACTAGCCGTCCTAGCAGGCGAACATGCTTGAAAACAATTAGCCAACCATTATATATATATATATATATATATATATGTGTGTGTGTGTGTGTGAGAGAGAGATGGGGGGAGAGGGAAAAAAGGGAGACTGATAAAGAAATGTTCTCTCTTATTGGATGACATTTTATATGTATAACTTCCCTCCATATATAACGTCGCTGTAATATATATATATATATATATATATATATATATATATATATATATATATGTGCGTGTGTGTGTGTTTTCGCTGAATAATTTAGACAAGTTTTGTCTACTTATTTTCGATAGGATCCTTTCATATTCCCGGATCAGTTTTTTGGTGTCATTATTGAATGACGAGAAAAAATCGCCGTGTTGATACATATTTCGTTCATTTCCGAGTACTTTCGACATAGCAATGTCATTCTCAGGGTATTGCTTATTACAAGATAAATATTGTAGTGTTCATTATTGTCAAAGACAAAATTACTTACAAGTGGAGTGTAGAACGCTGCGTCAGTGCCTGACTTCTGAAAACCTTTAAGGGGAGGTAACTAAGTATGGTGTAGAGAGATTTCTTACGAAATGAGTAGTAAAAAGAGAAACGATTAGTGCAAACATTGGCATTTCAAACTATCTAATGTACATATTTTAAAACATTTGTGGAGTATTCATAATTAATTTTATTAAAGTTTACTTTCAGTTTTTTTTTTTAATATAGATAGCTTCGAGAATTTTTAGTTAATGTTTATTCTTTTCGTGAATAAGAATAAAATAAGAATTTTTCTGAATTGCGAATTTGTACAGGTATGTTGTTGTAAATGTTTAGAGATGTTGGACATATTATTCAAATGAAAACTTTGCCGCCTATTTAAAATCATACCGATTTCTTCACAGGGACAACGTTTTCTGTTTTATGCCGACGCATTGTCTTTTTTTTTTTTAAATAATTCCAACTTAATTCATATTGGTTTCATCAAGTAAGTGTAAGTAAAAAAAAAAAAAAAAAAAAAAAAAAAGAAAGAAATAATTGACAAAATTTAATCAGAATTTCATTTTTGATTTGGTTGAAAAAAAAAGCATCTGATCGTGACGAGCAAACACAAAAAGCGAAGATGAGTTCATGTGAACTGATTTTTAATGGACTATTGACAAAGCTTTGCGAAAGGCAGACGAGAATTGAGTACTTACTTTTGTTAAAAGACTCCCGCCAAAATAAACCTGAAAATTGTGTAAGAAAAAAAAGAAAATAATATAAAATAAAAAAGAAAGAAAAAAAGTGTATAATGCAAGAAATACACATACAATTAAAACAAAAGAGGTGTGATGAACAAGATTTGAATTTGGCAATGCGCGATAGCTAGCCATTTACTTAATTACGTGTATATAAAGTGGGTGTGAAAATACAGAGAATCAGGCAAATGTAGGTGCACATATAATGTTTATAGATAATAGCTGGCGATATGTTTTCAGAATACAACTGCCTGCTTCGGTTTCTATTTTTGGTGAAGCCAGTCCTTATTGTCAACGTTTGCTCTGGCATATTTGTGTTAGTACAACACCTACATAGACGAACTGTGGATTATACTGCAACTATTCTTATATATATATATATATATATATATATATATATATATTTTCGTTTTTCTCTTTTTATTTTTAAATGTTTAAATTTTGAGTTCCTGTTTTATTTCACTACATTTCTGAGTTGACAATGCCAACAGCATAGAACTTGTTGGTTGAAATAGCTATTCGAATGAGGTAAATATGGATTTCTATTCTATGTAATATATATAAGTGAACATAGAAGCCAACACAGAGGCGACAGTCTGTTTCATGCTAGATGCAATCGTCAGGCTGACGATTACATCTTTGAATGAAACAGACTGTCACTTCTAAGGTTGGCTTCTATGTTCATTTTTATATTTGCACACGCTCTATCTTTGATATTGAGCACTTTATCCCATACATATAGTACATCTTAAGACTATATTTCTTATATATATATATATATATATATATATATATATAAATAAATGCAAACAAACAGGCTTTGTGGTAGTGTTATATATATATATATAACAGGCACACAAAGCCTGTTTGCATTTGACGCTTCCTTAGCAAACTCTGAAAAACCAGAAATTTTGGCTTCAAAAACTAGCACTATATATATGCGTGTGTGTGGGGGTGTATTACGATGAGTAAATATGTGTATATCGCGATGTATATATGCACAACTTTATAGTCACTATACCAAAATCATTTATATATATATATATATATATATATTTCTGGTAATAAAATCGTCACAAACAAATGGTTTGCTATATTTTAAGTATTTGATTATATCTCTTGTAGACTACTATACCGGAGATTATAGGGTGATATCCTTATCATGATGTGGTTTCTGTGGCAAGTCGAGCGGAGCCCAAGCCCTTTTGAATTCAGTTGCACTTCTCCTAAACAAATCTAGAGAGCCCTGTATGATGTACTAGTAACCTCTAGTCAGCGAGTGGTGAGATGAATCTATATCTCTTTGAATGCGAAAGCACGCGAGACGGGCGCCGCTTGGATTTGAACTCTGGGCGCCAATCCCACTTTCAGGGCTGATAACCGTTACATACGAATTTTACCGTATAATACCAGGCATATAAATTGTGCACAAAGTGATATTGGTACGGATTTTGTGCTCTCTGATTTCTCATTTTGAGCCTCTATCCGCTACACTACATATATATATATATATATATATATATATATATATATATATATATATATATATATATATATATATATATATATAGAGAGAGAGAGAGATAGATACAGACAGAGGATAAAGAGAGAGAGAAAGGAGAGGAAAAGAGAGAGAGAGGGAAAGAGAGGGAGAAGAGAGAGAGAGAGAGAAAGAGAGAGGGGAAAGAGAGAGAGAAAGAAAGAGAGAGGGGAAAGAGAGAGAGAGAGAAAGAGAGAGGGGAAAGAGAGAGAGAAAGAAAGAAAGAGAGAGGGGAAAGAGAGAGAGAGAAAGAAAGAGAGGGGGAGAGAAAGAGAGAGAGAGAGAGAGAGAGAGAGAGAGAGAAAGAGAGAAAGAGAGAAAGAAAGAGAAAGAGAGAAAGAAAGAGGGGGAAGAGAGAAGAGAAAGACAGGTGCTATGAGTTTAGGTTTCTTTTTCTGGTGATAGATATTTTACCATTCTCCCAGATGTTTCTTATCAGCTGATTCCGCCTCAACGAATGTCTTTCCGCTTTTTCCATTACTATGCCCTTGGATGCCAATATACTAAAAGCCGCACATAAATAAACTGAGTTTCAGGTAGACCTCCCTGTTATTTTTTAAACATTGCAATGCCGTCTAAGAGAATGGAAGTCTTACTAAAAAAAAAAAAAAGAAAAAAAAAAGTGCCTGCCGACAGGAAACGAATCTGTATTCCCTTTTTTCATTTGGGAAACCACTTTAGTAAGACATTTGAATTTGATCTCTAGGCCGGTAGACATTAATTTCAAGGTTTAAAAATCAAAAATGATGTCTACTGAAAACACTAAATATGACGTTTAACGTAATAAGAAATTGTTTCGCACAAATAGCCCTAGGAAAAGTATAAATCCATGCATTCTCCCTTGCTATGGCCTAAATGGTAGAACAGTTTGGGCTCTTCAGCCATGGATGTCGACCAGTCTAGTAGGAGCATAACTTAATTCAAAAACCGTATGTAGCCCTAGCGAAGCACATACATCTAATGAAAGTATCGTGGGGTTTACAATGACTATTGATTCCGGCTGTATTCGGCTTTGAAATATCTGTTTGTTTAAAGAACAGTGGAAGTTCGATGTTATTTTTAACTTTATTTTTTCTACATTTCAGTTTATTTTCTTGGTTTCGAGGACATATTCAGATATGAATGTCTGAGTACTTTCGCTTATCCTTAGCCATTATGAAAGTTTTTCTGTTTTCCTATGTCGTTAATTTCTTCAAATTTCAAGTATCAAGTGCTTTTCCGTTGTGTCGCTTGGTGATATGTGATTTAACTGAGCTATTATCAGACAAATGGCACGTTAATCGGTACGATCATGTGGTGGTGGTGAAACCAGTATATGTTTTTTGAATTGTCGTGCTTATAAGTGAGCAAGTGAAATCAGAATCAACATTGGTTGGTTGAAGTGTTGATACTTTTGTTGTATCGTTGGTGATTATAACGTCGGAGGTTATTATTTTTTTGTATAAACGAAAAATTGCTACAAAATTACACATATTCACACACACACAATATATATATATATATATATATATATATATATATATATATATATATATAATGACAAAATGGAAAAAAAATTATGTGTAATGTGTTTTCGTCATGGAACTAAATTGTTATTCTTGATGGGATTATACATGTGTAGAGGAAGGGGTAGATACAAGCATGAACACCATTTATAATTATGAACTGGGTGGGGGACGGGCTTCAATTACGACTGAATAATGATTTCGATCCTCACTGGATGCTCCATATTTTAAGCCTTGTGCCATATCGAAGTTAAGTTTAGTAAAACATTTTGGGCACTTCGAGATGGTGTAATGGTTAGCAAGCATGTTTCGCAAGAGACATTACGGCTTAGTAGTGAGTTCGATCCTCACTGGGTGCTCCACATTTTTCGCCTTGTGCCACTTCTAAGCTATGCTTAGAAAATCATTGGGGGGGGGGCTTTCCTTCCAGATTCTTCCGGAGGGACTAACAGAGGATGAGAAGGGTTTTTTCCCGTCGGAGTAGATGCTGCGGTTGTAGTATCTGTTCCGTTCCGGGGGCCTTTTCTCCACCATTGCGTTCCCCTTCACCATTGCGTAACATCTGTTCCGTAGTAGTGATATGAGCTGCTATGAATAGCCTAGACAAGCTAAGACCAGCGGCCCGAATGGAGGTACTGGGGTCCCTACGTTAAAAATTAACCTTGTGTCACAATCTGACGCAGTGGGGAGTTAAGGTAAATTTCGGTGGGGGACAGGCTATAAATATGTGGTCGTTAAATTTAAAATTACTGAGTTTTAATATATATATATATATATATATATATTTGCCTATTTTTGCTTTCGATATGTCTGGACACACAGCCTAGCCAATCTCATTTAGTTTGCATACGTTTTCGTTTTTATCATTGTTTTTAACCAACAATTTGACAACAGAAGATCAATTTACTCTGAGGACGTCCGTTCTAAACAGAATTTGTACACTTTGTCATTCATTTGCCTGACATTGTTCTGATATATAGAAATTTCTATATCATATTTTTCCATATACAGTGCAACCTCGGTTCTCGAAAGTCTCATATGTCGAAAAAATCAGTTTTCGAACAGAAAATTCGAGACGAAAATGCCTCGAACAACATGCCCAACCGAGTTAACCCGAACGGAAGAATTTCTGAGTCGACCGCCATGTTGTATACATTCGTGTGTTGTGGTGTGATTTCCTTTTCCAATTTTATTGTACTGTGACTTTTTTCTCTACATTGATTCCTATTGGAAAAATAGTTTCGGGAGAGGAACGGATTAAATTCGTAAACCGAGGTTCCACTGTATCATATATATATATATATATATATATATATATATATATATATATATATATGTATGTATACATAAAGTTTGTCACTTAGCTGATTGGTATTACCTTCAGCATCCCGACTCCAGAGTTTGGTAGATAGGCCCTCTAATAATCATTACATCAGCTTGTCAAATGTGTGTGTGTGTGTTTACGCTTTGTAAATAAGGTTGATATTTTCTTGTATGTATCGTCGTGTATAAACTTGTAAACAAAATCTTGTGGAATTATCACACCTCCGGGTATTTATAAATATCAAAAACAGAATGAAAAAAAGAAGATATGGCATAAAAGCAAGATAAAATTGGCAGAATAGAAAAAATTGAAAAGAAAAAAAAGTGAGTGGCGTGCAAACGTATGCACATAAAATAAAACCGGTGAAAATGATTATATATTTTTTTTTTTTAGATATTTTAATTTTTCTTGCAAACATGTGCAGAGTTGATAAAAAAATAAAATACGCATGAACAGACGTAGCTTATTGACTAAGCAAAACATGCATGGAAAATAGAAAAAAAAGAATTAAAAATAAAAGATTTTTTTTTCTTTGAAATAAAATAAATCAATATTATGAATAAATAATAAAACCCCTACATATCTGTTGGCCGTTTCCTTTCGCTGTTTCCGCTCTCTGTCGCCGTTGCATTGTGGGAAGGGGAGAAAATCTGAACGTATCTTTCGTTTGCACTCGCTCTCTCTCTCTTAAGTAAGAACCGTTTGTGAATGTACACGCGTTTCTTGTGACCTTTTTCCGCTTTGTAGTACATCAAAGTTGTTACACAGGTCTGCAGCCGGTCTACACGGAGTATACTTGTTGCACGTTCGGGGGTTAGTGCGAATACGTGTGGACCAATTGCAGACCAGCGTAACACATATTAGACAGCAGAGCAACGCCAGGGTATCTTTCCTCTCCTGCGTCGGACGAAGAAAGGTCTTGTCCTCTGCTTGAGACATTTTTACGGTGATCGCCCGAACTGTCAGGTCGGTGGTTGGTAGCTGTATTCGTCCGCTCTCGTCGGGTTGAGAAAAAAAAATCGTCGACATTTTTTTTTTTTTACCAGGATCACCAGACTTGTCAACCCTATTAAAATCAGTCATTAATACCGACTCTATACTATTTTCCGGTCGTCGCTTTTCCACCTTTTTATAAAGCAAAGTTTTGCGGTGTCAACGAACACCCGTTGCCACTTCTGTAATGTCAACGAATACTCGTTGTCACTTTCGTAATGCCTGTTGTAGTAAAGACTTTGTATTCGCAAATACAACTATAGTAACGCCGTTGAACAATACTGGTGTCAGACGCCTTCGAATATCCCTTGCACTAATAGTACTTGCTCGATAATACTCGCTCGAATAGTAACCACCAAATAGTGATCCGTATCGTGAGATATTCACTAACCGCCCCACGCGGTCGGATGCGGCACAAGGCCAAGTTTATTGTGGGGTATCCGAGCCCGTAGGCCCGGTCTAAAATTCCCCGGAGTCGGCTAGCTGTCTCCCGAGACGAGACTCTGCCCTTCGACATAGCCTCGTCTGGGGATCCTCTATGTCCGGAGGCAGAGTTTGACCAGCAGTAATCCGTATTTATGATCACTTAGACGCCACGCTAATTCCCATATATACATTTCCTTTAACATCACGGGATCTATCTATTCAAAATGGGATCGCCTGTGTTTGCTCTCTGGTGATCCGTGTTCAAACTCCAGTCTCGGTAGCGACACTTTATTCCTATGTAACACAGAGTATATTTACTAGGTGAACCTATAAATGTTGACAACAAAGGATATCACATGCCTCTGCTCTTTTCCCGCTCTTTGCCTGTATTTTCTCACTCTCTTTTGTCACATATGGTAGTGACGTGAGGGCACTGAAAAATCAACCCGTATTTTCTCATTCTCCCTCTTATCCATTCCCAAATTTCTTTTCATACGCGAGAAAGAAATAATAAATGCATCAAACCTTTTTCGACAGCATCCTCTCTTTTGTCTTTCTTTTGATCTATCTCACCATAAACAATTTTAATATGTCGCAATTTTTAAGCCATTCAGTCCCTACCTACTTCTCAATATTTCGCTCCCTCTTTCTTGATATAGTGATTTTCCAAGCGATACAAGGTCGAAAGTATAGGGCACCCAATGAGGATCGAAATCACTACTCAGTTGTAATCGCTCTAGCGAGACAAGCTTGTTAAACATTACATCACTTCGATGTACCCACTTTTTTCTTGATACACAGGGTGTTCCAAAATAATGTATACACTCTTTAAATATTAATAGTTAATAAAACATTACCGTGATGTGAGAATTTATATGGATGAAAATATGCAAAGCAGATGGATTGGAAGAAGAGGGACAATTGAATACCCACCTAGAGCATCAGATTTGACACCCTTGGATTTCTTTTTGTGGGGGTTTCTAAAAGACAACGTTTATAGCAGGAAACCTGAAACAATTGCTGAAATGAGAGTAGCAACTGAAGGAGAATGTGCTCAAATTCCAGAGGAAATGATACTGGACATTTGTAGGTCTATTTCTTCAAGATATGAAAAGTGTATTGAACAGAACGGCAACCAGTTTGAGCACATGATGTGAACTCATCATTATATGAACATTCTACCATTGCCCCAAGTAGCTTTTAGCTTATTAAAGTTAATTATCCATGTTCTTTTTGTATATTTTACTCTCAAATTTTTTAAATGCGTATTCTTTTTCTTGTATTAATCTTACTTACAAGTCAAAATACATAAATTGAATAAGTTATAAAGATTCAAAGAGTGTATACATTATTTTGAGACACCCTGTATATATTCTTAATAGCTTAATTTATCCAGCCTATGTCTTTTTTTTTTCGTCTTCATTCACTCCCCGGAGAGCCGAGTTCGAATTCCGGTTGGGTTCGATACATTCACTTATGTTCAATTACACTTGGGAAAGGTATGAATCCATCTCTTTCCCCAAGCTATGGGGCTTGTATCTAGAAAAACCATTGTTATTCTCGAAAGATTGCTAAAGAAATCTTCACTGGCAAAAAAAAAAAAAAAAAAAAAAAAAAAAAAAAAAAAAAAAAAAAAAGAAAAAAAAAAAAAAGAAAAAAAACGAAAGAGAAAAAAAAGAAAAAGAAAAAAAAAAGAGAAAGAAAAAAAAGAAAAAGAAAAAAAAGAAAAAAGATTTATTCCTACAAGCTAAAATATGTTTCGGCTTTAAATAACCTCCAAAGGGTTGATAAACCGTGAAAAACAAATCAATCAATAATCCGCTCCCTCTCCCTGTATGTATGTTATACTTCACATATGAGTCTACAGAGTTTATGGCCACTGGCTCACCACATTAAGACTCTCCTCTCTGTATATATAAATATACATTTTTTCCTTTCACCTGGTTTTCTTTTCGATTTTCTCTAATTTTCTTATTTCCCATCATTTTTCCGTCGCATCTTCTTTTATCCTTCCCCCTCTTCTTTGCATCCCTCAAGTTCTTCCTGCTTAATATTTTCTCAGAAAACGTAAATGATTCTGGCTCAGAGGTATGGGATTACTAAAACAATTTGTAAAATATAATTGCCGTACATACACGAGAATACTGAAAGGTTCTTGGCTTGACTCACTTTCCAAAATATAACCAAATTAATTATCATCATATTATTTATTTACTTATTATTTTCATTGATTTCTTTTGTATACACATTTTACCGGAGACCAAAGATGAGAAATGGCTTCATGAGATTTTACACTGAACATTTTTACTTATTTATTTAATATTTAATATTTATATTATTTAATATTTATTTACTTATAATTTTCATTGATTTCTGTTGTATACACATTTTACCGGAGACTAAAGATGAGAAATGGCTTCATGAGATTTTACACTGAACATTTTTGTTAAAAAAAAAGAAATAAAACTAAGAATAAAACAACTTAAAAACGCACACATTTTACGCGGCTAAAGCCCTACGAAAGGTGTGATCTGTGCTTGTGGTAACAATTTTTCGTGTTTTTTGAAAGTATGGGATATCATCAATGAATCTATAAGAACATTTTCCAATCAAAGCCAGGCACCTCCCAAATCATAATTGGAATTATTGATGTAGTCATGTGACACATTTGTGAGATTCTCACTTCAAGATCCTTGTATTTTTTATAGTTTTTTTTTAAGCATCTTTAAAGCGCCTTCAGGAACTGTCATTTTCTGAATATGTGAGTGGTACTGATGAAAACAATCTTATGAATCTTAGAGAGTGCAGGGGATTTGGGTAGTAGTAGTAGTAGTAGGAGGAGATTATTATTATTATTATCATCATTATCATTATTATTATTATGTCTTCTTTTGATTTCTCTTGTATAGACATTTCCTTCTGGATCACAACCAGAAAACTAAGGCCAGAAATGACTTCATGAGATTTTTACATGTAAAAAGATCTTCATAATATCTGAGCTGTACTTACGTGTACATTTTTTTGATATTTCTTTAATGCCTGGGCTACAAGCAATTCCTTCAATGAGTCTATCGGAACCTTTTATTATTATTATTATTATTATCATTATTATTATTGGGGGGTTTAATTCTTATTATTTATATTATTGCTATTCTATATATTATTATTTTACGGGGATTTTTGGTGGAAAGGGGAATTTATTATTAATATTTTGTAAGGGTTTCTTTGTCAGTTCAAGAACTTTCCAGAAGTTCCTGATATAAACAAGCAGAAAAATAGGGTAAAATAATTATAAGCAAAACCATTGTCTCATTTAAAGCAAAACGGTAATTTATTTAACTTTTATTTATCGGACGAAAAGCTTTAGTTGTTTGATTTGTATCTTTCAACAGACGATTCCGTCTTTATTCATATTTTGTTTAGTAATCACTGAAACTGTCTATGTTTTGTAGATGGGCTGAAAAAGGGATGTCGACATTTGTTTTTTTTTTTAGAATGGAGGATTTTTAAAAAAAAGTAATATCTGATCTGGCTATTCTTGTAATGTTCAGGTAATATATTTTAAAATCTTCAGCGTCAAAATTTTTAATCTCTGACGTGTGTAGGTCAAAAATAGAACAATAAAGCTTCCATAGAGACAAAATATCTGGATTAATCACGGCAGTTTCCAGAAAAAGAAATGAAGACCAGGAACACACTTCAAGAACGGGGACGTTACTTACTTATCATAATATTGTAAGGTTGCCTTTCTACGTCTTTTCTATAATTATTTTCATTGTTTTATGATGAGCACTTCTTTATGGAATGTATGACTTTTGAATTTAAGCGCAGGATGGTGCCGAGATCTCATCAATTTACAATTAATAAAGCTAGATGTAACCGTAAATTCTATGTTAACAGTTTCTTTTCTCGCTTGTGGAACTCCCTTCCGGACCCATACTTTCCAGCCAACTTTAATCTGAAAAATGTAAATGTAATGTCAATCGCTATCTAATGTCCTTTTTCTTTCCTCTTCCCGCTCATTATTAATGTTTCTGTTTCTAATTCTTTCACATCCTGTAATTCCTTTTGTCTTAGTGGCTTTACATGTGCATTTGATTTTACATTCTCGTCTGCGATGTCTGAGAGACTGCCCTTTTATCGCTGGGATGGTTGTTTATATCTATCTATCTATCTGGTGATAACAATTAAAAAAAAATGAAGACACTTGAACTCTTTATAAGTCTCTTTTTTTAAATTTCATATTGACAAAAAGGCATCCATTAATTGCCTGAGTCAAACAAATGATATTATCGTTGCGTCTATTAATGAGAACACGGGACTTAATCTATCATACTTAACCTTACAGTTTATCAAACTCTTGCCTTCGTCAATTAAAGTCGGCCTTTGGTGTGAGCAGCACCGGGCCCCTCATCCGAGACGTTGATTTTACATTCTCGTCTGCGATGTCTGAGAGACTGCCCTTTTATCGCTGGGATGGTTGTTTATATCTATCTATTTATCTTTGTCATTCGGTTATTTCTCACGATTGCAACCGAGGCGCAGCTAGGCGGATAACGTGTACGCCTGTCGAGATTGCCCCCTGAGATCGGATGAGTTGTGGGTCTCCGTCTCTGGCTGGGTGGTTATCTCAGGCCAACTATGGGACTGGCTACTCTAACGTCACACTACGTGCAAAGCATATTCTGCATGATCAGAAAGAAATTAGTTGTAATATATTCATCAACGTTGTTTACAAGAAAAGAAGCTAGATATGGCGAATTCAAGATAGACATCAGTGAAAGCAGTAACTGAATGAAAGGAAGATACGTAAACTGGTGATGTGACTTAAGTACACGTCCTGGTTACATGCTTTTGGCGATGGAACTTATATAAATTGATCAGTTATTATGAAAACAGTAATATTTAAATTCAAGGAATATTCGCAAGGCATTCGTTTGCCACTGCTTTCTGAAAACGAACGGTGCATAAGGTGGGACGTTACGGTCACGCACAATGTCGGTGTTGTTTGGGCGAAATGAGAAAGAAGACATTGTTCTCTGTTAAACTCAGTTTTCTTCGGCTGAATTATAATTCATCCAAATATTTGCATTTTTCTACAGCAAGTTCCGAAAAAAAAAAAGAAAAAAAGATCGATTGTCTATAAGTCGCACGACAGAAATTCAGCGTAAAAGTTGGCATTAAATTTTTCTAGAGATACCCCGACTCCTGTGCCATCTCCCCAAATAAAATTACTTCGAGTCGGCTTTGGTCGCGTACTGAAAGAAATACCTTCGAGGGTTTTATGTATCCTGCGGGTCGCGTACTGGACAGCACTAATTTAGATAATTAAAAAAAAAGAAAAAAAAAAAAAAAAAAAAAAAAAAAAAAAAAAAAAAAAAAAAGAAAAGAAAGCCGGCCTGATGACGATGACGAATTTGTAACCAATCGGTGGTTTTGACATTTTACAGGAAATAAACACTTGCGATTGGAGGCAAAAGATTCTTCATGTTGGAAAAAAAAAATATTAGAGAAAGCTGACATTGAAACTCCAAAATCAAGCAGAAAATAATTGCAGTTAGATTACTTATTTCAAATCAGATTTGTCTTTATTTTAGCCGATGTTCTCTCTGTCCTTCCTCAAATTGTATTTAACAATCTTTCAGAAATAACAAAATACGGCAGGTGCGAAGAATACAGAAAATGGGACAACAAAGATAGGAAAATTGGATTGAAAGATTTACTATATAATAATAATATTGGTTTGTCAAAGAAATAAAAAAGGAGGTTTTCTGTTAATTTACGCACGAGATACCATAGTTAATTGCATGGATTAAAGTTTCGCCGACGTTTTCTAACTCCTGATTTTATTACAATGTTTACCATCGATTTTTAAAGACTGAATGGAGATTTTTGGTCAAGGCGTAAGTCAGATTGAATTGATAAGGTCAAATTGGTAGCTGATCCAAAAAATGACCTACAGTCTGTTGTTAAATGGAGCAAGGAGTGGCTTGTTAATTTTAACGCCTCCAAAATGAAACTGCTCTGTTTTAATCATCTGAGAGGACACCTTTTACCTACCATCAGTATGGCTGATGCTAACCGCCAGGACAGGGATTCATAGCATCTTCTCGGACTAAGGTTTCAACTGACATGTAGTGGAAAGAGTATATTGAATTAACTGCTAAGTCTGCAGCCAAAAAAGTTGGCTCACTATGTCGTGCGAGAATCTATCTTACATATTTATAAGTCTACCATACATCCTTGTATTGAATATTGCTATCACCTCTGGTCTGGTGCTTCTGCTATATATTTAGAGATTCTTGACAAAATCCAAATAAGAATCTGCAATGTTATTGATCTTAACCTGGCTTCTCGGCTCCAGTGCTTTTCTATAAATATTTTCATGGTAATTTTTCTGATGAACTTTTCGCTATAGTACTTAGACTTTATGAATTTAAGCGCGTTACTAGATTGATAGTAAGGTTTTATCATTTCAATGTTGAAATGGCTAGATGCAACCGTAAGTTCTATGCTAACAGTTCCTTCTGTTGAACCTCTCGCTTGTAGAACTCTCTTCCGGATTCTTGCTTCCCAGTCAACTTTGGTCATCAAAAATGTAAATGCAATGTCAACCGTTATATTCTTATTGTTCTTTTATTATGCCATCTCCTTAATAGTAGATTTTATTCCATTCTCTAACCCCTTACGTCCAAGTGATTTTATTGTCTTGCTCGGGGTGAAATGATTAAAAAAAATAAAGAAGTCGAAATGACAACTATTTAGTTAAGGAACCAGTATTTCATTGGATAAAGAATTGCTATCGACTTTGAAAACCAGTGTTGTTACTTGCGTATATCGATTTATAAATTTCGAACTGATAGCATTGATTTTTTTTTCTTTTTCCTTGATTGGTTATCCGCAGATTAAAAGACAAGTACTTTTAGTAGATTAACGCCTATCATTTAGGAAATAATTTTTTGTTCGACAGTATAGACGCCAGTCTTGAAAGCCGCGTGCTTCTTATCTGGCTGCCGTAATGACGTTATCTTTGAGGTCTGGGCAAAGAATGAATATTTGAAATTCAAACCCGCGAAAAAGCTCAAGAAGCAAAAAAAAAAGTTAGATCAAGATAACTCGAAACAATAATCTTTATCTTTCTTCCTACCCAGTAATTAAAATAAACTTTCTTAATCAGTGTGTAGTGTTCCCCCAGGACGTGGTCGACCATGGCTCTCCACAATTTCCTTTTCTTTATAACGCTTGATAAATTTTACCTTTTTGTTATCTCTCCTAAACCTTGTTTTACCAACCATTTACACAAACTCATTAGATCGCTTATGCCTTGTTTTACTCTGCACATTTTGCCTTCAATCTGTCCTGTGAGTATCAGATTTTCTACGCCTTTTTTTCCCATTTTGTGATCTAGAAATTTCAAATGACTCTTCCTGATGCTAAGAATAAGTTTTCTTTTTGTTTCCATTTTCTCTCACATGTTAGGTCCATGGTATTCTCAGCAAACTTCTGTAGAAACACATTTCTGTTGCTTCAAGTCTCTTTTTCTAATGTGAGGAGATTGTCCAGTATTCACTTTCATATACGAGGACAGATATTACATAACTGTTCAGTACTGTTTTCTTTATTTCTAACGATATTTTCCTGTTTCTTAATACACTGCTTAGCTTTTGAAACACAAGTTAAAAAGAAAACAACTTCATAAATTGCAAAAAAGAAGATTAACTGAATGTTAAATACGTCGTTATACAAACACACACACTATATATATATATATATATATATATATATATATATATATATATATATATATATATATATATATATATGATGGGATATACAAACAATATATGAAACTGGTAGTGTCCCGCTGAATGTCAAAATGGAAACATTTTAATGTAATGTGTTTCATTATTCGAAAGGACCTTTTCGGACTAAAATAAGGTTTTCATCAATGGAATTATACTTATGTAGGGGAATTTTCTCGATGCAAAATTGTAACCGACGTTTGTTGTATTTATTTCTTCCTCCTCCTCCACCCCCCATATATATATATATATATATATATATATATATATATATATATATATATTTATTTAATTACTTGCAATAAGTTGTTTGGTGTTGAGATATCACACATCTTTTGAATTGTAAATATATATTAGGTTGGTGCAAAAGTAATGTCGTTTTTTTGACGTTCAACTTAACGTCAAAAACGATATTATTTTTTTGCACCAACCAATATTATAGTTATCATTACTTAAATTTCAATTTCAGATATAATAATAACAATAATAGTAATAATAATAACAATTGCAATAATAAGTAGTAGTAATAAGAATAGTAATAAGAACAGTAATAGTAATAATATTAATAACAATGATGATAGCAATAATGATAATGACAGTAATAATAATATTAATAGTAATAATATTAATGATAATGATAGTAATAATAATAGTAATAGTAATAATATTAATGATAATGATAGTAATAATAATAGTAATAGTAATAATAAACAACATTATTGTCGTAACTCTTTCAAAATTCTTGAACACTTAAGAGCGCGATTTAAGAAAAGAAAAGAAAAACAATGTTTGACAATGTTAAACAATATTTCGATAGTATGAAGAAAACTGATGTACTGTCGAAATATTGTTTAACATTTCTAAACACTTTTTTTTCTTTTCTTTTTTCTTAAATCGCGCTCTATTCTTAAGTGTTAATAGAAATAGTAATACAACTGAATATAACGTCTTTTCTTTTTTCAGGCTATCTGAACATCTGCCAAAAAGCGCTCGATAGACAACTAGATATTTAATGTTCAATAAATCAAGAAAAGTTCAAGTAAGTAACTTTTCTTGATTTATTCAATAATTATATATATATATATATATATATATATATATATATATATATAAGATTTCCATTGTTAGAAATGATGTCATTTCAAAAGAGAAAGACGATTTTGTAAAGTTATTGAGTAATGGGAACGTAACGTTGGAAATTGCCAAAAAATAAAAATAAAAAAAAAAGTTGAATAGAGATCACAGAACAATCAAAAACAAAATTGAAAACATCACAAAAAAAAAGAAAAAGAAAAAAAAGGGAAATTAGAAATTAAGAATCAAGTAAAATGGATTGACTAGCAAGAAAATATTTGAAAAATCTGTAGTTGGGATTGTAAAAGGTGAGAATAGAGACATAATATTAAGTTCCTTGTTTAAAGGCATGAAATCTACTGCGTCAGTCACGATGAGCGGGTATCCCTTCGAGGGGGCACCATTTCTTGAGAGAATATTGGGCCTCAAACTAACTCAAGACCTCAAGTGGAACTCTTATATACGATCCATCGCTAACAATACAGTAAAAATATTGATTCCCTCTTGTACCTGATCCTTCATGATATCATCTAATTTTATAAGAGTCAGATCAAACCGAAAATGGAATATTGTTGCCATATTTGGGTGGGAACTACCCAGTTCTCACTTTCCAAAAGTCTCCCCCCAATTCGTATTCCTTTAGTAAGAAGGAAGTTTGATTCGGAAAGCTTCTCACCAGAGCAATTAAGGCCAGGTCACACTGAAAGCAACGGTTATCGTTTGATCACCGAAGTTAAGCATTGTCGAGGCCAGTCAGTACTTCAATGGGGGATCACTTGGGAATACCCTATACAATTCACTACAATTTGAAATATTATATATATAGACTGAGGTTCAAATACAGTAAATTCGACCTTGCTAACCGAACGCGCCTCTATGGCCAAATCGGTAAAGGCACGTCAAACTAAATGACGGTTCCGTATAGGATACAGGTTCGAATCCTGTCGGGGGACGAATATTTTCTATGAAAATTTCTCGGACATTCAGGCCGGTAAATGTTGTTTAATACTGTTTATTATAAACAGGGCATTTACTTAAATATTTGTATTTATAAAAAGAATATATATATTTCGGGCTATATATATATATATATATATATTGTAACATATAGATATATATATGTGTATACATCTATGTTTTTGTATCTGTTTTAAATTGAACCTTCCTATCTCTTTACCTTCCCTTACACTATTTCCCGTTCTCTCTCTTCATAATGTCAGCCCCCAAAGAAAACTTTTCTTGGTCAATTTATTTTTTGCTATTGTTTTGTCTTGTATTTTTTATTTTTCAAATTTTTATATATCTGTCCGTGATATCTTCATTCATTTTCATAAAATGTAGTCGATCTGATGAGATGAATATGTCTATATGATAAATTTATAACAGACTACGTATTTTAAAGTTTTTTCCTAATTATTGTCATGCGTGTGTGTGTTCCGTTAAAAATGGCCGACAAGGCTTTTTTTGTTAAGTTCTCTTGTTCGCATACAAGAAAATACAAGAAAACTTAACAGAAGTACGTTGTCAGTTGTTTTTAACGAAACATATATCAGAGAGAGATTCCTACCTAAATAAACACACATACACACCCATATATATATATATATATATATATATATATATATATTCTTGTAAAGATCTATCTTGCCAGTAGAAGACGCTGTATGACCTTTTTGTCCATCGAACAATATTTAATCAAAATAATACCAGGGTCGTTTATTAAAAAATGATTAATTATCTCGTTAATTTAAACGACGCAAAAAAAAAAAAAATATTTCAACAGAGAAAAAATGTATTAGAATAAAATTGATTGTAAAATTGATTTATATTCAAAGAAAAGAATCAATTTGGTGCATAGAAAAACAGGCAAACACACACACACACATATGTGTGTGTGTATATCAGAATCTTCTTTTATGCATTATATATATATATATATATATATATATATATATATATATATATATATATATATATAGATGTATCTGAAGATATATTTCTGTATCATATATTTATGTACACGTAGAAAAGATGACATACACACACTTATTTGTTTGTATGTGTGTGCATGTGTAATTATATTGATACATTTTCATAGGAACAAAGATGCACACATAATTCTTTAGATACATTTACATAAACACACATATATACATACATACATTATATATATATATATATATATATATATATATATATATATATATATATAGAGAGAGAGAGAGAGAGAGAGAGAAACAGAGAAAAAAAAGGACAGCCAGACGCGCCTCACGAAGACATTTGTTGCAGCATAATTAGCCCAATATCTATCTCTTCATATGGAATGTTAAGTTAAAACTCAGTACATGTCATCGGAGCTACAAGTTGACTATAATCTATCAGTCTTTATCTGTATAGACATATCGATAATTTAATATATCTATCTGAATATCATCTATATATCAGGCAGCCAGACGATTGCGTCTAGCATGAAACAGCCTGTCGCCTCTGAGTGTTGACTTCAATGTTCACTTTTATATTTACATACGCTCTATCTCTGATATTGAGCACTTTATGCCATAAATATCGCACACTTTAAAACTATATATATTACCAGATTCCTTATACGGAATCATTCAATATTCATTGATCGATTAGCCAGTGTTAATGTTGGTTTAATTTTATAAAATCTTTCTCTTAATACAGTTTTTTCAGAAAAATAGGTTTCTCAATTACACTATCTGTTATCACCCTTTCTAGTATTGATAGGAGTTTCCTTCCTAACCTTTTAGTGTGGAATGTCAACATATTGTCATTATTTTCTTTTCCAGTTACATTTGCGCCCCCCTATTAATTATTGCTACTCTTTAAAATCCTCGAGTGATGTTGTTTCTGTTATTTGATTTATCGTTTTTTTTTCTATATTGTCAGTCCACGAGTTGCGAAGATGGAAGCTCCTCTCTAAGATCTAAAGTTTTCATTGACTTGAAGCCATCAAAGATTAAACATTGATATGAGAAATCGGTTGTTGACTGTTTAAACATTTCTGAACAGGTTGTCTGTCATCCATGCCATCCATATTAATGTTCCGATCTGACGAGGCTGTTTAAGAACACGACTCGAGTTCTTAGATTATTGGTTTGATTTTATAGCATTTTGAACAGAGTTACCTTTAGTGTAGCCTATTTTATATCGAATTTGTCTATTTCCTATACTAAATTTGTTATATCTCATAGTGTTTGGTATTTATTAAATCCACATCCAATTTCAGATCATAATTTCTGTTTTGGAAAGATTTATCTCGAGTCCTACTTCTTGGAACACTTGCTAGGCAATGTTAAATTCTTGTTTAAGATCATTCTTATTCCAACTATGAATACCTATGTCATCAGCATGGCCGATTTCATCATCATCTACATATGCTCTATCTACGATACTGAGCATTTTACTCGAATAAATATAACAATGTTGGGATATATATATATATATTACCAGTTT